AACATATATGGCGCTCATGTTTTTATCTACATTTTATTTTAACAGCATATACATGGTGATATTGCAATATGGTGATATCGTATCGTGAAACGTATTGTTTTGCAACACCCATGCCAATACTCACCCCTATATCAAACACTGCTATTGCACAGAGAGGTGCGATGGCTGTTGTGTTTGTGCATTTCTGGAGTTGCAAGATAAAATAAAAGAATTCCGGCAAGACCACCATCAATCGCTGTACGAACTGAGTTTTGGATCAGAACACGAGGCTGTGGACGGCTTTATGCTCAAAGTGCTGTACATGCCTACATACATAAAAAGGGAAGATACGGTAGTTCCCGCAGCTGATGAAGCAGTCAGTTTTGATTATCCAGCAGATTAATCTGCAGTGCCAGAAGATGAAAAGGTGCTCTGTGGACATGGATGAGGCTTTGTCAAGATAAATGTGGATTGTGGACACATGCATTTACACAATAAAAGATGTGGAATACCTTGCCTGTGAAGATGAGCTCTTTGACCTACAAGCTGATTCTCTATCCAAAAAATAATTTCAAGAGAATGAATACAAAAAGTTTTGAATTATCAAAGGAGAAATCCTTGTACCTAGACTGGCCAAAACACACAATAATAAGGGTTATTCTTCCATTCAGCACTACCTACCCATCTGAGACAGCCTTCAGCGCTCCTGTGTCAATAAAAACAAAAGCCTGTAATAAACTCAATGTTCATCAAGACTTTAGATTGGCTGTTATAAACACCACACCTGACATCAAAGCCCTGGCCAGAAACATGCAAGCCCAAGGTGGCCTTTAGTTCAAGAATGAATGTGTGTATGGGTTGTTTCAAATAATTCCTGGTTCCTGTTTAAATATCATACAGAGTAAACATTCATTTTCCAGCACGCTTATCCAAAGCAGGGTCGTGAGGGGCCCTAGGGCAGGAATGCCCAAAGTCGGTCCTCGAGGGCCGCTGTCCTGCAGGTTTTAGAGGTTTCCCTGCTTCAGCACAGCTGATTTACATTGATAGCTGATTAACAGGCTTTTGCTGAACTGCAATCATCAGAATCAGCTGTGCTAAAGCAGGGAAACCTCTAAAACCTGCAGGACAGCGGCCCTCGAGGACCGACTTTGGGCATGCCTGCCCTAGGGTGTCTATCCCCAGCTGTCTACGGGCGAGAGGCGGGGTTCACCCTGGACAGGTTGCCAATCCATCGCAGGGCAACACAGAGACAACCATTCATAGCAGTTTGGTTTGGAAAAAGTTAATACACTGGAAAAACAATGTAGAAATAAGTAAAAATTTCTTTAATTAATTGTATTTTCCCTTAATTTTGAGTAGGTAAATAAGATAGTTTGCCAATGGAATGAGTATTTTTACTCTTAAAATAAGATAATTAGATAACGTGCACTAGAAATAAGACAATGCAATTGTGTTTTCTTATTCTACGTGTAAATCGTCTTGGTCCATTGGCGAAAGGTCTCTTACCTCCTAAATCCAAGAAAAAATGACTTGTCTAGATAGAGTGCTTATTCAATATAATGTTCTGTTGTACAACTACGAATGTATTGCTTTTACAAATAAAAGTTTGCATCTATATACGGTTTTCTTTACCATTTTGATTTAGAGGTTTAAGCTAAAAGTCGTCTTTGGAAAAGGGCAATAAAAAGGTGATAGTGGGGCTTAGACTGGCTAGAGAGTAAGAAGGGGAGCTTTGAGGAAAACTGCTGGGAACTCGTCGTCTACAGGCGCACGGGGCTTTTCAATTCTACTGGTTCATATACCTCAGCGGTTGTTCAGATTCATGGGAATAACATTGATTTCAGTTTATTTCTTATGCAGTTTTATGGGGGAAAAAATCAAGTAAAAAAGCTTCTTGCTCCAGTTTTTGAAGAGGAATTATGAAAGACTGGAGCTTTTGTTTTAACTGTTAAACTTAATTAAATACGATCAGATATATGAATATATGGATCAGACAACATGTCTTTAAAGCAAAAAAACTAAAATCATCATTTAACCTGAGCCGACCATCGGTGTGCAACATGAGGCCATTATGAGGATCTATCAGATAAAGATCACAGGTTGAGTGTGAAGCGGCACCAGTTATCATCCTTCAAAAAGACAAACAAGACCAGGTAAAAGTTTAATGAATGATGGTTTATTATCAAGAACAGTTTGATTTGAATCACACAACAGACAATCACATAAAATATAATCCTGTCAAAAAAAAGAAGAGTGCAAAACAATAAATAACAGAAGGAAGAAATCTGAAAACAATTATGAAATGATAAAAAGATTTATAAAAAGTGACAGTTTGGTGGGTCTTTGTTTCAAACAAACTTTTTATACATGATATGCACAGAGCTGTAAAGACAGAAATAATGTTTCCAGATAGGCTATATGACATTTAACTGTGTATGCCGACATAGTGATGTAGACAGATCTTCATTCGGCTCTGGAACGGATCACCTATTGGCCGACTAAAAAGCCCAGAACAGAATTAAAGCAGACCCAAACTTGGTCTGAGCTCATCATCATCATCGTCATCATTCTGTTCCATTCATCAGATCAACTGATAAAAAGAGCAGACTGTTGCCGGTTTCTAAAGACCACGGCGGTTTGGTAAAACAGTCTGAAAAGCTAACTGAACAACCAACCTCAACAGGAGTGTTCAAGCACCTGGTCTGTGTTTGTCGCCCCGTTCCAGACACCCGCTCCCCCACTGTGCTCGTACTTTCAGATCAACACTAAGGAAATGTGTGCCGTGTAGAACAGAAGCTTAGGGTCTCGCAGGCGAATGAAAAAGCTGTGAAAACGGTGTCGGCTCGGACATGAAGACGTGCCGCTATGTGTTCGTTGCCGCGGTGACCGAAGACAAAAGCAGCAGAGTCGGTGAGCTGTGTCCTTTACTGCTAAAAAAAAAAATCAAAGAAATGAAGCGGAGATCACTGGTTTGGTTCTCAGTCACTGGTTTGGCGCCCTGGGGGTCAATCAGGCCTGTGGGTCAGCTGCGGACGTCACCTCCACCTGCTCCACCACCTCACTGGTGGGAGACTGGAAGCCGCTGTCGTTATGTGGAAGGACTGGGTTCTCTGGATTTGATTCCTGGGTTTGAGTTGGCGCTTGCTTATCTGACGCCTCTTGGTCGTTGGGTTGCGGCTCCTCAGACGCTGGCTGGCTGTTCTCCCTCTCCTCCACCTGAATGCTAACTGGAGCGCTCTCTGCAGCTGCTTCAGCCTTTACTGGGATGTCTTGATCACATGGCTCATCTGTAGTTTCCTCCCCTTCCTTCAGTTCTGAATCTTTGGATATTTCTGGAGGGTTCTGTGGGGTCGTGTGTTTGGCCTCAGGTAGCGTTTCCTCTGACTCTGTTTGCTTGCAGAGTGGCTCCTCCTCAACCACCGCCTTGCTGTCTTCTTTAAGCTCCTCCTTAATGACTGACCCGCAATCTTCCTCAGGGTTGGTCAAAGCAGCTTTTTCCTCACACAGGTCCTCAACTTTCCCTTCCTCTAAAACGGATATACTGGTCACGGTCTGTGAGGTGGTTTCTGTACCTTTGGGGAATATTTCTACAGGACGAGGTGGAGATGGAAGGATTTCCTCTGACTCCTGACTTTGGGAAGGCTTTTCTTCAGTCACAGGTTGGAGGTTTTCTCCCTCTACAGTACTGGAACCCTCATCTACAGGGGATTCAACCTTGGTTAGCTCCTTTTCCTCAGGCAGCTCCTCAGGGTTTGGTTCGTCTTTCTGTGAGGACGATCCACCGGAGGTGTCTGGAGGGCTCTCTGACTCTTTAGGCACTGGAAATTGTTCAGAGGTAGCTTCAGCTTCCGCCTTTTCCTCCCCGGCTCCATCCGCCTCCTCCAGGATGACGTCAATGGCAGGTGCCTCCTTGAAGAGCTCACTGGAACCCTCCACTTGGATCATTGACACCACCTGCTTTACCCTTCTCCTCTTCTGGGACTCTGCACATTCACCATTAGCCTCGGAAACCTCCATGAGCGGTTCTCCTTCCTCCTGCTGTTCTCCATACTTCTCTGCCCAGTCAATGGACGGGTTCTCTCCCAGCAGGTGGAGGCTGGGGTCGCTGTTGCTGAGGACAATGCTGTCCCTGTACAGGTTGTGTCTCCTTTGGACTGCTGCCTCCTTCACAGCTGGAAAACAAAGAGACAAAGGGTTCAAGGCTGAGTTTGATTAAGATCACAAAGATTTTAAGTTGGTTCTGTCTCTTAGTAACAGGAAAATTATCACGGAGACATGTTGGTAATCGGAGAAATAGCAGAACCATAACAGATCTTGGTCAGAAGCAGCTCTCTCAGATGCATCCAACCACCAACTAATAATGGTACCAAGGTACCAGCGAAGGCTAAGAGCTAACAACCTAGCGACCTTTAAGGGGCTAACATTCAAAGACATACTTTCAGTGGGTGAAAGTAAGTACCTATTGCCCTGGTGTGTTAGCTCTGTAAATAATGTGTGTTAAGCTTTCTCATTCAGCCATCTTATTGTTGTCGTCAACTAGAACTAGCAACATTTGCCTCTTAATATTTTCCCAAATCATTGCTAGCTCTGTGGTTAAAGGGAAGTTTTTCTAAATGGAAATAACCTTCCGCCACTTTTTTATAGCAGACCATTCGTTAACCATCAGTCCTGTTCTATAAAGGAGGAATCAATTTTCTTGTTAAAATAGTTCTTTTTTTTCTCCACTATTGCTGCATCCAAGTAAAACCGAAGTTTTAGGGATTGCTGCAGAGTCAGCAATAAAATGCAAGCCAATATCTACCCTCTTTACCTGCACATTCAGGAAGAAAGAATCCTGCAATGTCAATGACTGGAGGCAAACAGATGGTAAGTATATATATATGATATGGTTTCTTATACTACTCCTTTTTTCTTAATGACAAAAAAAGCAATTTTACTCAGAAAACTAAATGTCTGTCCTCTGCACAATTGTGCCACAATTAGAGACCCAGAGTGACTTATGAAGACAAAGCACCAGAACTGGAACATCAGGGCTTTGATAAAGCTTAGAGATAGAATGGGTAAAGTTATCTTTAATGCTGATGTGGGCTTATGTTGCTGGAAGACCTAAAGTCTACTTACTCCATTTTCCCTATTGCTTATTTGTGTATTATAGGCAGTTGTTGCTACCAATAACTTTGTGTACATCATTTGTTCTTTTTCCGATTAAAAAGAAGAAGTCATAACTCAGCTCTAATTTCTTCGTCAAACCTAAACTAGTGGGAAAAGATGGCTGCTCATACACAGGTATTTTCATGCTTCAAACAATATACTTCAATATATACAAAATACTTCAAAGTCCTTCCTTTCCACTGCAGAAAGTAAACAGCTCAAATTGTTCTACTAATGAGTAACACGACTGATTGACAAGAGGTTCAGCTGACAGCTTTTCCTGTTGAGGCGATGTTCCGCTTGATCTACCCAATGGCTCTATGTACAATTCTCTACATTTACATGGATTGTTTTTTGAAGAGTAAGTAATTTGTGAAATAGTTCTTCTTTTAAACAAAGCTGAGCTGAAATTGTACTTATATTTTAGATTATTGTTTGCATTTTTAGATCCCTGTTTTTAGGAAAAAACAACCCTGATGATTCAGTTTTAGGGGATAACCTTATCCGAGGCGATTTGCTAAAACAGGGTTCCTGCAGCATAAGGAAAGTTAAATTCAAGACTTTTTAAGACTTTTTAATGCCACTTGAAATAAAAAAAGACCAAATTCACAAGAAACACAAGAAAAACCCTCTTGTGACAACTTAACCCAAAGGTTTATTATAACATAAACCACTGCACTAATGTTTCAAATTTTGAAAAGCTTACCATCCGGGAAGAAAGCTAAAAACACACAAATGACAGATATATTTGAACAATTATTTAACTGAATTCACAAACTTTGTTTTAGCAGGGAACAAAACAAATCAGTTTTAAAGCCCCAACATAACCAGTGCTAAGTCTTTTTGCAGCTATTTATCTTTGTATGGTTTTCTTAGTATGTTTGATTTGGTGATAAGTGGAGGCGTTGCAGAGACAAGGGTGGAACTAAACTGAGAAATACCGGCTGTTTCTCTGTAACTCCATTTTGACGCTTTGTGTTTCGTGCTTCGCATGTGTGACTCCACTGCCTTAATTCCCATCGTTCCGAGCTTGAATCGCTTCTTGCACTAAATCCACTGAGCCTCATGTATGTTCCCTGGTTTTAGCCATGGAGAAAACTCTTGGCTGGAGACAATTTTGGTTCCATTTACACTTGCTCATATTTTCCAGACAAAAAGTTAATGGTGCATCTCCCAAATGTCCCGGCCGCAACAACGCTTTTATTGGTTCCGCTATCGGGACGGAACCAATAATGACGAGCCGTTATTTATTTTTTTTAATAAAAAGAAAAAAAAATTTGTACATTTTAACGTTTTATTTAGATTACAAAAATAAATCATAATAAAAATAATCCTATTTATGACGTTTTAAAAATTAAGACCTACAAAAAGACTGATTTAAGACATTTTAATACCAATTAAGGCCTTCGTTTTATTTTGAAGAATTCAATGCCTTTTAAGACTTTTTAAGGACCCGCGGGAACCCTGTAAATGATTTTTGCTGAAGCGTGTAGATAACAGTAAAACATGAATCGTGGGATTTTTCTGGGGGTTCTTTTCTCTGTTTGGAAATTTCCCTGGAACCGCCCCTATGGTTGGGGACTTGGATAATCTGATATTTCTATATAAACTAAGATCTTAGACTCCAAATTAGCTGCCTAACTGCATGTAGTAGCTCATTTTCTCTTTTGATGCATTATATGTTACATAATCATTAATTTAGGTACTTTTAATCAGGTGTTCCCAAACATTTGATTGACGGCCAACCACCTAAAAAAATAACATTTATATGTTTAATATAACTAGTTCTCTCCATATAAAATTTTGATTTCTACATAAATAATTTTTCTAAAGGAAAATTTAATTAATGGAATTTATTTCAATGAATGGAACATTTCATTGTATAAGTAGCATTTTATATTTTAATAGTATATTTCACATATGAATAAGATAAACACTGACCCATCATGATGTCCTTCATGACCGAGTGCAGAACCACTTCTTCAAAGATGTTCTCCACCAGGATAAACCGCGAAAAGTCCTCAAAGATCAGCTCCCGGAAGCGAGGAAGCTCCTGTTTTTTCCCGAACCATAAGAACAGTCAGAACTCCTTCCCATTTAAAAAACGGGATATTATGACAGGTCCTTATGTCCTCCTCTCAGGTGGACGAAGGAAACGGAAATACTCACGGAGGAACAGGACGGGCTGAGCTGCTTCAGCATGTAGGGGATGAAGATCTGGAGGAGAGCCTCACGGAAGAAGCGCTTCCTCACCGTACTGCTGTCATAGTCAAACTTCTGAAGAAAACCAAAAAAGAGACGAGGAAAGCTTAAAGTTACAGCAGGAAGCTTTGCCCTGAGCAGGTTGAGGTGCAGTCATGGTCGCCCTATAGTAGCCATTTTGCAAATGGGTTGGTTTGTTGACCGAGTCCAGCAGGATTTTGAAAATCTCAAAGTATCTGCTGGGCATTAAACAACTTCCTAATAACTGAAAGCAGGAATTACATTCGTCTTTAACCTGCAGGTTGTTTGGCACAGAGCCAAAAACCCAGACATAGATCTCCAAGGTTGTCAACTAACCCCATCATACTCCGTCAGCGCTCCGCCCTGCTCACGTATGTCGTTTGGAGTACTTGTCTGTCATGTTAAAGGAATAGTACACCCAAAACATTATTAGCCTTCATTTTCTACTCACCCCCATGCTGAACAACACTCTGGAGTACTTTTTTGATATCTCAAATGCATCTGGAGATCTGGGAGGCTTCTTGCTGTCTGCTGACATTCAAATAATGGAGGTCTATGGCGCCCGAGGCAGAAAGGTCCATAAAAGTCCACAAAAAGCGTGTCAATATTCCTCCATACTGCTCGTCCAATGTATTCCAAGTGTCCTGAGTGGGTAGCGTCCATAATTTACTCGAAACGAAGTCATTTAGAATGTTTTTAGAGCATAAACAGTAGTGTATAGGATTTCCTGAAAGCGCGTTCATGAGTCTACGGAAACCGCGGCAGACCAAACCAGATGAAAGTGCGCATTCTGCGTCTGTTCTGCCGATAATGCAAGCGTAGAAGAAGAAATGTGCTGTTTACCTGTGCAAAGAAAGAAACAACGAAAGAAAAATGTCTGAGGACTTCAGTGTTGAGGAAAAGCATGAGTTCTTTGCCGAGCTGAATGCGCACTTTCATCTGGTTTGGTCTGCCGCGGTTTCCGTAGACTCGTGAACGCGCTTTTAGGAAATCCTATACACTACTGTTTATGCTCTAAAAACATTCTAAATGACTTCGTTTCGAGTAAATTATGGACGCTACCCACTCAGGACACTTGGAATACATTGGACGAGCAGTATGGAGGAATATTGACACGTTTTTTGTGGACCTTTATGGACCTTTCTGCCTCGGGCGCCATAGACCTCCATTATTTGAATGTCAGCAGACAGCAAGAAGCCTCCCAGATCTCCAGATGCATTTGAGATATCAAAAAAGTACTCCAGAGTGTTGTTCAGCATGGGGGTGAGTAGAAAATGAAGGCTAATCATGTTTTGGGTGTACTATTCCTTTAATTAATGAGAACTGTTCCAAATCCACCGCTACTCCTTCGCATGTCACCGTCCACGTACGCCTTCTCTGTCCATCACGGTCAAAATACGGAGCCGAGCCATTTTTTGCCCCGCTCCACTCAGGTCAAGATCCGCGATTGCAATCGCACCAAACCGGAAAAAGAACAGCGATAAGATCCAGTTTATCGAATCAAAAAATAGCAACCATGGATTGGTAACTAGAAATTAGAGCATAATTCTTATATATTCTGCAAAAACTAAGGCGGTTTAATTAAACAATTGGATGCAATCTCTTGGTACTTTAACATACCAAGAAGCAGATTTCTTATTTATTTTATACCGAGAGGCTTAAAGTTTAATCACAATCAGTCAAAAGAAACTTCTTATTGCAGAAATGGATGAAGAGATGCCGAGTTTGGAAGTAAAGAACAAACGGTTCATAAAAAACTATTTCGTATGATCCTGGTTATCCCTGTTCTAAAAATCTACAACAAAAAGAAAATATTTGGGCAGAAACTGAACATATGCTGGATGCTGATTTTTTTATGTTTCATGTTGTATTAAACGTTCATTTCCGCATGTTTTGCTCCTTATTTTAATAATAATATAGCGCAATCTCTCCTCCAGCTCAGAGGAAGTCGGCACGGAGGAAGACGGGAGGATGTAGGCTTTGCTTTGTGCAGGCGGTCTGGAGCGCTGCGGGGCGGAACGATGACAGAGGATGTGGGATTTCAGGGTAAGAAAAGCAACAGCAGTCAGTCAGAGTGGAAGTTCCTCATTCTACATCTGGATGCATCATGTCAAAAAATAATTGAATTTGTAAGACAGATTCAGTCCACTTGATTTATATGAACAGGAGGAAGCGATAAATCTATTTCTACAAGAAAAGTCCAAACTTAAGGACTGAATATCTTAGCTGTCTGGTGTTTTCATCACCAACTGCTGTCTGCATTAGTGTGCTGTACCTTCATGACTCTGTCCTGACACCGTTGGATGGTCTTGCACAGATCCTCAGGACTCTGAGATTCCAGACTCTGGTTCAGGATCTGCTCAAACGTATACACCGCATCGTCCATTTGCTGAGGAGCAACAAAGGTAATGAGAGAGACGTCTTCGTTCCAGTGACTTCTTCAGGAAATAATAAACCAACTGGGTTTAGTTTAGTAGGAAATAAAGGGTTTAAAACCAAGGTTTAATAAATGTTCTTGAGCTCAAACAAGGCAAACAGAGGGTTAATAACCTGGTGACCTTTGGTCTAACAGATCCCTGAGCAACACACTGGAACCAGAGCCTCGGCCCCCCTCCCCCAGGCTGACCCCCAGTGTGCTGAATCCATGTTCCCCATTATTAGGGTAAAATTAGAGCAGAAATATGAACATGTCACAGGTTTAATTGGACAGGCTGGAGAAGAATGGATGCTCCAACATCGTCCTCAAAGCACACGTTCAAATTTACACAACTTCTGTAGGACATTTATATGCATTAAATTATTTCCATTATATTTATTATTTATAAACTCCAACTCCATTGGAATTTGTTTTTAATCAGATTCACCTCAGGAAACTAGAATCTATTCAGGTTTATGAAACAAAACTGAGATGAAAATCTTCTGCATTTGTTTCTCTTTATGACAGAGTTTGTGTTTCATGTTTAAATAAGAACTTTTATTAAAATGTCTTAAAGTTGGCCCTCAGCTGCAGTTTTCCAATCTGCACACTAGGTGGCAGTGAATCCAGTGAATCAGATGGTACCTTTCTCATGAGGATCTGGGCCCTCTGAACAAACACGGACGGGCTGGAGACGTCAAATCTCTGCTGCAGACCCTCCAGACTCAGCTGCTCCACCTTCTCATAGCAGCTCTGCATCTTCACTGGGTGGAAGGCCAGCATGGAGATCTTTTCCATGTGCTGAGGACGAGTAAAGGAGAAATTAGCTTGGATGTTCATAGACAAATCTCCCGTTTCCATGGTTATGACAGATGTTTGGTGGAGACCACATGAAGCCCCTGTTGGTCCTTAGACCAGCCTACCTGAGCTATCATCTCCTTGGTGCCGTTATTCAGGGTGTTCTTGCTCATGTCCACCAGCTCACTGAAGAACACATCTCGGACCTCGAAGAAGCCTCGGCTGGTGGGCTCCATCAGGGCGTCGAGGATGGAGCTGATGTACGGCTCGATGCTGACCTTCAGTAACTTCTCAGCCTTGGGAAGAACCACGGCTACAGGGGGAGCAGAGGAGACGTCAGTTATCTCCAGGCCCGGCTCAGGTTCCAGAACACGGACCAGGCTGGTGGTGCTGACCTTTGACCTTGTTGGTGACATGCTCCTTGGATGTTATGATCTGATCCATATCCGTTCGGATGGAAGCTTCCAGAGACGAGCGGCTTGCTTCACATTTCTGCACCACGGCCTCATACTGGGTCTGACACTGGTTCTGGACCAAGCTGTACACGGCGTCGCTAATCTGCAGACGGAACACAGCTGATCGTAAATCCAGGCGTCTGGGTCTGAACCGGACCCTCAGATTTAAGTTTGATGTTTTAAACTTTGGTTGGAATTTTTCCACATGAGGTCAAATGATTCCATCCTTTAAATTCTGGGTTCTGATTCTCAGATGAAGAAAAGCAGAAATATTTTAAAATTGATCATTTATCTGCTCTCAGAACCCGGTCTGGGCTGGGATGGGCCTGTGGTTCCCTAAATGTCCTCTGAAAGTCTCAACTTTAGACACTATAGCAGGGGTAACCAATTAAAAATCAGTTGGGTCCAAATAAAGATCAACAACCAGGAAAGGTCCGGAGACATTTTTAATAATACGTTACTTTAAACAGCATTTAACATTGAAATAAAATAGAGGTGTTTATGCATCAAAAATGCTCTATTTCTTTATTTAAAAATTCCAAGTGTTTTTTGAAGTACAGAACTTAAATCTTTCAGTTTGGTGAAAGAAGTGACCGTTTTCTTTTCTTTCTTTTTTCTGTCTTAATGTTGGCAGTGGGCTTTAGGCTGCCCTGCAAGGCTTTAAACCTGGGTTTAAATGCAGACTAAGCCATTCTCAAGCACATATCAAGGAGCTCATTTTCAGCCTGGATCCAGATTTATTGTTGATTCTGTTCATGGTGGAGAATCCTGCTTCACAGCAGCAGGTTGAGCCAAACATCCTCTGAATGTGCAGGGTCATCTTTGAGCACCATTTCACTTTTCTTTCACCAGTTCACCACAGTTCTTCCAGCAGTCCACACTTTCTCTGCTCTCTTTTTCTCATCGTCTTCTCCTTCTTTCCCATCGCCCGGCTTGCTACAGGTTTGCCTGCTGTGTCTAAAAGTAGCAGCAGCAGCAACCCTGACTGACAGCTCATTGGCTAATATGGATCATGTGCAGCCTGTAGCTGCGGAGGGCTTTACCGTATTAAAAGGAGAAGCGGCGCAAGTGAAGTTAGACACTGCCATCGGACAAAATGCAGTAATTTATAAATGTTTTAAATCAGGTTGGGTCCGGATTAGCCAGCAGGTGAGTCCCGGTCCAGACCCTGGTCCGCTAATCTGTGACCTCTGACCTATAGGTTCTCTGTGCGGTTCTGATCAGCTCAGTTTGCTGGTCAGTCAAACCCAGTAATACGGTCTTTGGACCAGCTGGCTGATAAAATCAGAATCTCCATACAGCTGATCAGCACAAAGGGCACTGAATTCCCAAAAAAGTAAAAAAAATAAAATAAAAAATAAAAAATCCACTGGACTTTGTTTCTAAGTTTGAAGACGTTTCGCCGGAGTTTGAGGATTTATGGAGTTGACCAAGAACAAAGCCTAAATCAAAGCAAAAACAAGGCTTTTATTTTTTTTGGTTGACTCTATAAACCCTCAAACTCAACGCGATTTCTGACATTTTGCTGCCTGGACAGGAAGCGAAACGTCAATCTAGGAAACAAAGACCAGAGAATTGTTTTTTTTTTTAGCTTTTTTGGAAGGACTATGACCTGGATGACTGAGAAACTTCACCAGTAAGGGGCTCATTTTGTTGACCACAGACACAGAAAGCCCAGTGGACCAGAACCAGGAGTTGATCCAGAACCTAAAATCATCATCATCGTTTCCTAGTGAAGCTCCTCCCAGTTCCTGCTTCAATCCAATGAAGATGATGGAGGAGATGAAGGACCAACAACGAAGACAAAAGCTGTCGTCCTTTTGTTACTTCATAGTTGATTGTGCATAACTACAGCAAATTTATCCTTTTTGAAAAAAAGGTATAAAAAACATGAAGCACAGATGGAAATGTGACGGGTGGTTAGAGCTGAGGATGAAGGATCTCACCAGCATCCAGTTCCTCTGCCTCTCGTAGAGTTTTCCCTTTAGACGGGGGGAGATGAGCTCCCTCAGTTCAGGGAGGAGGCTCTCCATCACCAGGTTAGACAGGATCTATGAGGAGAGACACAGCGTTACCGAACCGAGGAGGCAGAACGCGTCCTGCAGGAACATCTATTCACCACCAGGGGTCCAGAGGAAGGATACAATCTCCCCATCGACTCACTGACTGTCCCACTTAATATTTTATTGTCAGAATCTGAATGGCCTCAGAAAACAGGCCTCTGCCCGTGAAGCTAACAACGCTAACCTGCATTGGTCCAATCAGATTGTATCTTTGTGAAAACAGCCACAGCAGCTCTGAGCTCAATAGATCAGTAAAAAAAATAAATAAACATGCAACAGTAGGAACAGAATTAAAGGAGGATCTCTGGGCCGACCTGAAGGTGGCGCTATGCTGCTGCCAACCTGAACCTGTCAAACCTCTCAGGTTTGACACTTTTCAGCATGGTTCCTCGGTTCTGGAGAAAAGGTCATTAAAAGGTTGGCCAAGTCCAAACCAACTCAGGCTGGGGAGGTTTTACCTGGGATGGTACGCCACACATCATCTCCCAGGTGCCAAAGTGCCCTTGAGCCTGGCGGTAGAGTCGGACTGTGTCGGTAAAAGCCGGTGTTTGGACTTTATGCTCCTCGGACAAACCTAAGAAGAGAGAATAAAGATCTGTTAGCAGGCTGGTGGGTGTGTGTGTGGGGTCCTGGTTTGGTATCAGAGTGAGGACATTTTCTTGTCCTCAGTTCCTTTTTGATATGAGGACCACGGTGTGACTGGAGGTTAGGTTAGGCATGTTCTGGTCGTGGTTAGGCTTCATGTGCTACTGCTAAATGTGCTCCTCCATAAGGTCAGAGGTCGTGGCGTTCAGCACTCATTGAAAGTCAATGGGGATGATCACATCCGACACAATTTTACAAAAGGTGGCTGCATAGGTCCAACTGAGATAGAGCCCAGGTCTATTTTATTTGAACAATGCAGCAATTCAGCAGCAATTTCATGGGTCTGACAGGAAGAGAGATGCAGTTACAAAGTAAAACACATCTGCTTTGGGGGAAAATGCAAAATAAAATTTGTTAATCGCACGAGGAAAGAGTCAGTTTGGAATCGAACATCGTGTATACTGTGTAATAAGCGGAACTGACTGGTGCAAAAACAATGGAGGACAAAAAAAAAAAAAAAACTGATAAAAAAGGGCCTCACAAAAACAAGGGATATAAAGTGCAGTTTATCAATTCCCTCGATAAAAAAATTAACTTCAGGGGGGAAAAAATTAAATGGACATAGTAAAGTAGTGACCCTCTTTGAGCTTCACAAAAAAAAATAAAAATCTTCCCAGAATCACCTCTCTCACCGAGTCAGCATAGAAATCGTCCCACTGCATTCATTGCTGCGTTTTTGTCTTATCGTTAGACGTAGATCTTATTATGTTTTTAATATGTATATATTCTCTCTGTTCTGGTTAAGTGGGGCTTTGCTTTATAGAATGATCCGGCATTTTTTTTTTTTTTTTTTTTTATCTTATTTTTTAATAACTTCTCATAATCTGTCCAAGTCAAATGTTGGAAATTGTTTCAATGTTTGTAAAGGACAGATACAGAAGTGAAGAAAATCTGTGTAGATCTGCCCACTCTGCCTAGTCGAAGCCTCTCTATACGCAGTCAGACAAAAAATAAATAAATCACACCTGAGATTAAAACATTGTACGCAGCTTAGAAGGACCTGAATCCTTTGCATCAGTTCACAGAAACTAAGATGGAAAAAAGTCAATTAGGTTCATTTACAGCAGCAACAACACAGAACAAGAGTAGAACCATTGAAATGGGTCAAGCAGCTAATATTAAATGGGGGTTGAACTCCATATGCTAATAATGACTGCAGTCATCACCCAGCTTGAGTGAAAACCAGTTTTCCCAGCAGAACATGGAATTATTCGGAAATTAATCTAGATTAACATAAACCACAGATAAACATCAACAGCGGCCGAGCGGGTTTCCAGGAGCAATCCAGTCCCTGACATTAATGGGCTGCAGATGATAAACCTGGTAGAAACTTTTAGATCTTCCTGCCTTGCAGATAAACTCCTGAAAGAGCTTCCTAATTTGGACTTTGGGCTGAAATGTTGGTTCTCTGCCTCACCATCCCTTCCTGATTGGATCGTTTACAGTGCTGGCACAGTGCGGTTAATCTAGCTGCTCTCTTAGGAAGATATTCTCCAACCACTGGTTTCACAGGTCAGGCAGGGGCTGCTGCTCAGACAGCAGAATTAATGAGGGTTAATCAGAGTTCCAAGGAACATCATTTCAACAGAAAATGTTAATTTTCCTGGCTATAGGCCTTTTAAAGGCGGCGTCACTTGTTGCACCATTTAGCAGCTTGTTTCTAAAAACAAGGCTGTTGAGGACTGCGTTCAAAGATCAGTTATAACAGGTACCACGGAATAACTCATCCGGTTTGGATCAGAACCACCAGAAAAAAAGAGCCAAAGGAACAGTTCAGACCGCAAGCAGCAGAAGCAGCAAAAACGTGCGTGCTGCTTCGTTGTTGATGCTTGTTCAAGTTTAGTCGTGACGCACGGCTGAAGCATCTTTGCTGCTCTAGCTGGTGGTCGAAAAGTGGGCCTGATGTGCGTTGGGCGGAGCTACCCAATCCTTTCTTTTCCTGGGAACTATATTTGCTGTTATGAGTGGATGAAAAGTAGTTTTAACATGTTTTTAAGTGAGAAAGTCCACCTAAAAACTTAATCTAATAATCATCTAAGATTATGATGCTGCCTTCAAATTTTATTTGGATGTCAGAGCCGCTCAGACCCGCGTGCACAGGCGGTGCTCTGTCACAGGGAATCCCGTTCAATGGTAGCCTCTGGCCCGGTCGCCTCTTTGCAGTTTTCCGCTACTGTTCGTGGCGGCTGGAAGTAGATGTTAGCATTTTTCATGTACGTAATCCAAGCTGCAGGCACCAGGGTAATAAAATCAAACGTATTTTACCTGCAGGTTTCGATATTTTGAGTTAATTTAGGCATTAAACTGTTTCAGCGGAGGGATCATAGCGCTCTGCATCAGCAGCGCTTTGTCAGACTCCCAGCTCCCAGCTCAGCTTTTCTGATTGGGTTATTTGGTGCGTCAAGCAGCAAAAGTTCATTGTTCCAACTCCAGCATCTGCTGCTTTGGAAGATCGTCACCTTGTGTTAGATGCTCAAAAGCTCGTGAGGCGCTGCGTCGGCTGCTCAAAACACACTGCAGGACGTTTTGCCGCGCCTTGATTTGCATCATCCATTGACTTTGCATGTAAACTAGCTGCTTCTGCAGCCTCTGCAGCCTCTGCAGCCTCTGCAGCGTGCGGTCTGAATGTATCATTATATATGCAGATATTTTCTATGGTTCCTTTAAATGATGTACTTGGATCCTTAAAGCAGAGGAGGAACAGTGAGAAGAGCAGAGCTCAGAGCTGATTAAAACACATTCCCTGACAATGGAGATGGACCCCTCTGAACTGGGACCATCTCTCCCACTGAGCTCCTACCGCTTCATAAACACCAATGGATAAACAGCCAGCAGCCTCTGATGTAAGCAACCTGTAAATTATTTGCGCCTGTTTGCTCCACAGTGTTTGAGGTGTTTATCTATTCTACATCTCTCCTTATATAGCCATTGCTCCCCCTCCTATGTGCCGATTCCTCTATGTGGCTTTACTGATCTGTTTCACATCTTTAGGTCAGCATGTAACAGATTTGCTACCCTTTAATATTATGCCAATCCCTGAATGAATCAGAGATTTTGGTTGAAATGTTCCTAAAATGGTCTCTCTTTAGCACCAAGAAACAAGCTGTCCGTCTCAATTATTACAGAAGCCACATGAAGCGCTGAATCCGTGCCCTGTTATCTGCTAGCCACTCATTCAGCCACAATCCTGCTGCAGCTCCAAACTGGAGGGAAACTTCTGCACCTGTTGGTTACAGAGCTTCTGCTAAAGCAGACTGAACAAAGCTGCCGTTACATGTTCCTCTAGAGCAAGTTCCTCATTTCTCCATTTGCCCCAAACAGAGCAGGGAAACATGTCGTCTCCATCCAGTCCTAGTTTCAGTCCCATGTTGCTTCACACTGTGGACATGTTCAAGAAAGAAATAAGCACGCAAGCCTGATGGCACACACAAAGATGATCTACTGACCGGTTGTTCATGCATCTTTTGCACCTTGCAGCCCCTTAAAGTTCCTTGTCTGGATAGTCTGTCCTCCATGGTAGATCTGGTACCCTTGCCATGCAGCAGCAGGTTGGGATGACCCCATTAAAGCTCTCCCGCAGGTGGAGAGGGACATGAGTCCGCTTTAACTTCCTGAGGAAATAGGCCTGCTTTTCCATCATCTCTGCCTCCTCTCTATGGATGCAAAGGCCGGACTGCTCTGTGTTCGGATCTCCTGGATCCCAGAATTTGTTGCCTTGCCTTATGTTTGGGACATTGCGCCGGTGCGTTGGGTGATTGACCTCCTTTTTGGAGTCCGGTTCAACATTGTCTATTCGATCCCTACAGTCAATGTAGATAATGGGAAAGGAGGGAGCTGCACATACACCCCCCTGTGGCCCATATTTAGAATGAGAGTGGAGAACCTATGACTTTTCATCCTTACATATTGGGATAAGAACCAGCTGAGTCCATTCCCACAGCGAGCAGCTCAGGCTGCTTAGTTTTCCAAACATCCTTACAAACCAAATCTCTGTGACACGCATCCTTCAGCACGAGCAAAGCAGAAAAGCCTTTAGCCCTGTTGCCACACAGCCGGTTCTCATCTAACATTTGGAGGATTTCCGTCTGCAAATTAGCTTCAAGGCTGCTTCAGGTTCCGCATCTGTTCTCATTAAGTCAGCAGATCACACGCTGTGAACCATTAGCTTTCCATGCTGTTAGTCTGTTCTTCTGCTTCCCATAACAACATCTGCAGGACCAGGCCACGTTTAGTCATAGAAATGAGAAACGGTTTCCATGACGTTGTGCCAATGCCATGAGTAAACAAACCGACAGCAACCAGTGATTCACTATCTTGTAGCAACATTAGCAGCAGAACCGGTTCGGAGTTCAGGTCCCTTTTCTTTATATAACATTATTTTAATCCATAGAGATTTGGAGGGATCCGATTCTGCTCATTTTATACGTTTCACCCCACTCCACAGCCCCCCGCCCGGGGAGCAATCTAATATCAGCCCACTAGAGGGAGCCGCCTCAGGACCAGGAAGCTGTGGAGTCATCGGAGGCTCTGCCTCCATCTACTCGACACCAGCAGCTGTGATGTAATCACTACACGGATGGGTCCGCTGCCAGATACACAGAACTGAAAGGGAGGATGTAAGGGGATGCCTTCACTGTCATCAGGGAAGCTGCCCAATTTCCAAAGAAGCAAAAGTAAACGGAGCAAAGATTGGCCAATCCCACTGAGTCAGGGAGCCAGGTTCCCACGGTAGGCTGTGGTTGGAAGGCTGGGGGCCACTCCTTCACAAACACTCTGAAGCTTTAGAGACGACCGAGGAGCTTTGGTTTGATCGGGTTTCCTCTCTTTTTAAACCCGTCTGTCTCCAACACAGAGACATGTTTATCCCTTTGTTTTCAGATGGAAAATATTGGACACAACTGGATTAAACTGGAGCGCATAGAGACCAGT